CCCAGGACAAGCTCGGCGTCACCCGCGACGACGTACTGAAGAGCAGCGGCGGCGGCGGTGCCAAGGCCCTGCCTGCCCCCTCCAAGCCCCAGGCCGCTGCTGCCTCCTCTGGCGGTATCAAGGTCGGTCTGGGCGAGATCCAGGCCGGCGGCGCGCTGGCGAGGAACGCTACCTCCCAGGCATAAGCATGAGAGCGTAGGCGTGTGGTATGTGTATGTATGGATGAAGTGTATCTGAAGCATCCGCAGGCGTGCGGCTAGAACGGCCCCGAGCTGCGTGTGTGCTTGCTTTTTCTTTTGAACTTTTCTGGATCCCGGGATACCTAGATAGACGGGTATGGCGTCTTGGTGGGCATTTGGAGAGCACGTGTACGATTTCTCAATTATTCCTTTCCTTTTTCATTGTTTGATGTATGCATGAGCATGGCGGCGGCAGCACTAGAAAGCCTTCCCTCGGATATGAGCGATAGACTTGCGTGCGTGAGTTAGCATAGATGGCTTTGGCCACGGAATACCAAGACATGATCGTATATGCCAGTATTGTTACTTGAATCGGTTGTTTGATTTTACAGTGCGTCTCAAAAGATGCCGGTTTCTCCAGGTCTATCGATATTATTCATCTAGAATATCCGCATACCTTCCTGGGCACTAATTTTATTCTGCTCTCCAGCACATTTACTTTATTTCATGGCCATACCTCCTCATTAAAAGCCACATCCTCACTTGCCCTCCTTCGGCAACACCCTCCACTGATCAGCAACCTTCAGCCCAAACCCTTCCGCGATGTCGCACCCGCCGCGTCCCCACTTCAGCTCGAAGATCTTGCGCCCCGCGCCGACGAGCACCTCGAACGCCTCCGCGAAGCCTTCCGCGTTGTAGTAGTAAGGCTCGCCCTCGCCGCCGCGCTGGCTCTTCTGCCACGAGTTGCGGTTGTGGTCGTTGCCGCCCCTGTACTTGTAGTTCGTCATCTCCAGCACGACGGCGACCACCGAGCGGAAGTACTCCCGCGCGCCGGCCTCTGCTTCCAGATCGTCGACCTTCGGCTTGGAGGCCGCGTTGTCGCGGGAGGCGGCTTTCATCTGCTCTGCTGCCTTCTTCTCGTCTTCCTTATTCTTCTTTTCTTGTTCCGCCTTCTTCTTCTCTTCCTCCTTCTTCTTCGCCTCCGCGGCCTTCCTTTCCTCTTCCTTCTTCACGTCCGCGGGGTTTGGCGGGTTCGGGTCCACCCACTCGGCCTTCGCCCCCGGCACGCGGAACAGCACAGCCAGGTCCCGCAGGTGCGTCGATACGTCGTTGACGATGCCCACGCGGCGGTGCTTCATTGTCCACCCGTCCATCGTCAGCCGCGCGTTCATGTCGCAGTCGGTCGCGTAGTACGGGATCAGCGAGTCCCACCCGCCGATGGCGTCCATCGCCGCGCGGTTGACGAGCGTGAGGTGGTCGTACTGGTACCACCGAAACGCCCACTTCTCCTTCCGCTCGAGGGTGACGTTCAGGTCGCGCAGGCAGTTCTCGTAGATGGTGCGGTACCCCTTCTCGCCCGCGGCAGGCGGGTTCATGACCTCCTCGCGCTCGGCGTCCGAGTAGAACTCCCACGGGCGGTCGCCGGGGCGGTGGGTGTCGTCGCGCCCGTCCTCGGGGGAGAAGACGACGACGTCCTGGTGGGAGTAGAAGTAGTACGGCCAGTTGTTCGCGTGCGCGGTGTGGAGGAACATGTTCTGCATCTGCGAGAAGGAGAGCAGCGCGGGCGCCTGGACGACATTCACCCCCAGCCGGGAGAGGGTGGTGTGGTTGAGGTAGAAGGGGTTCTGCAGCGAGAGCTTGCCTCGCGCGTTGGCAATCTGCACACCCGTGTTCTCGAGGACGTGGATCGAGGAGGGTGGCCAGCCGGCGGCGATGTAGCTCGCGACGCACTGCAGGAGGATGGGCCACTGGCGAGTGAAGCCGATGAAGAGCGGCGGCATGGCCTCGAGGCCGTACTCCTTGTGGACATCCTTCCGGGGCCGGTTGTGCGCGGGGACTGGCGGCGGCGGGGAGGCGGTGTTGGCGAGGAGGGGGAAGGGGTCGACTACAGGCGGCGGGGTGTATGTCGGCGCGGGCTTGTAGCGCGGCGTCTCGGCTGCTTTTGAGGATTTGCTGCCGTCGCCGGAGGATCTGAAGAGGGAGTCGGTGGTGGTGATGCTCTCGCGGAAGCGGACGAGGACGAGGACGAGGGCGAAGAGGAAGACGGCGGGGAGGATGTTTCGGAGGCGGGAGTTGAGGGCGATCATTGTCGCGGGTTTTCGGGGGCTGTTTTGATGGGTTGGAATCCTTCAGCGCATGGGAAGGACTGGGAGATCTTCGTCGGCGCTGGGTCGACGGCGCGGTGGAGGGGGAGGGGGAGACATTGCGGCCGGAGAGGTTGCCACGAGGCGAGGCAGCAGCAGGCGTTGTCTCTTTTGTTGGTCCGTTCGAGGCGGCGTGCCGTGTGTGTCGTGTCGTGTCGCACTGCGGGAGGGAGATAGTCGGTCGTACGTCTTACGCCTCCCGAATCTGGGATGGGATCATGCAGCTTCCTTGTTGCTGGCCCGGGTGGGTGGTGGAAACGCACGCGAAAATGCGGCTCGCCGACATGGGAGTTTGCGCCAGGCTGAGGCAGCTGTTCGGGAAACGTTTACGGGAGGGGTTTAGCGCGCTTTCGGGGGCCGTTTGACGGCGCGCCCAGCTTGTTAGGCGTCCCGCTTTTCGGGCGACCAATTGGGAAGCCTTAAAGCTTGACGATCGGAGCACGGCAGCGGTGCTGGACCGGGGTGTGCCTGCGTCCGGCCTGGGAGCCCGTTTGATGCAGGGGCAGGGGATTTGGGGTGCGTACGCAAGCTTTTATTTCATGGATGAACGTCATAATTTGACACATTCTGGGACAGGTTGGGCGTGAGGCGTTTTGTGTCCTCCAAAATCTTCATTGCTGAAGTTGCAGAGTATGTACAAGAGTCAAGCTTGAGCTGGTTTCACGGCGTCAAGCTGCGTGACGTTGTCGTACGCGCCCGGGATGTCGACTACGTGTATCTACTATCGGGGCAGCCATGGAGAAATGACAAACTTTCTATTTTTCCTGTGCTAAAGCGACTACTTTTCCTGATCAGGTATTATCTTTAATATGGACGGTAACAAAGGACGACGATGATAATGGTGATAATAAAAGCAACGGTAATAGCGATTACAACGGTAACGATAATAGCAAGCACAGAGGAGAAGTAGTCGCTCGGGCCAGTATAGGGGAAACAGGCGGTCTCAACAATAAACCGGAATTTTTGTCCGCTGTCTCGAGGGGCAATTAAATGAATGTAGTGAGAGCCTCCAAGACTTTGTGCGCCACAAAGAGGGATTCAATGTCTCTCAAGGTGCTCTGAAGACATGATATACTCAAAAAGCTCTGCCAGGCGATTACTCCGCACTGGTTCAAGCAAATCATCTCCATTCACCCCTTTGGTCATTCATCTCAGAAGCTCAGAACCTAGTCCGACATCTGCAAGCAACACACGGCTGAGATTACTGATCATGGACAACCAACTAAACGACATCTTGACAGTCCACGACGGCAATCGAGGCGATGAAATGCCGGAGCCTAGGAATAAGCCAAGACCCAATGGCATCCTCGGCGTTGTCTACTCCATTGGCCGGAGTCGATTGCCGTAAGCAGCCCTCACACGGTGAATTGAAGCCTTGCACAGACCGTTGACAAGGGACAGCATCATCTTTATTTTCAAAACACTAGCTTTGCTCGATGCCATTCTTACAAAGTTTAAGGTTGAAGACGAAGCTCTCATTAAACTGTTGGCTCTCGAGGGCTTGTTAGGGGCATGGAAGGTCGCCATGGCTTATGCGGGGGTATTCAACGAAATTACGAAAGGCATGTCTAGTCTCCAGACAAAGCAGCTGTTTATGGGCGTGTGAGGAGGGGGATGGAGGGATGAGCGGACTCGGAGATAGTGGTGGCCATGCTGCTGGTGCTCGGCTTCCAGAGTTGTTCTCGGCTGCAACAAATGCCAAAGCACTGAGTGTCCTAAAACGAATAATCATGTTGTTGTTACAAACAGTCGCCTGATAGTCAGGGGCGAAGCTTGATTTCCGTTATTTCATTTCAGGCTTGTTGTGCCACATCTCTCTTAAATTCTAAGCTGTTAAACCCATTAGGTTGTGAAAGGACCCTCCCCTAGCTCGGCCTTGACAGTCTATCTCCTGAAGCGTCGGACTTTCACTGATTTTTGCCTCTGCAACCTTCATACTGCTGTTCCAAGGGATGTTGCTATATTTGAAACAGAGATTTCTTAGGTGAGGCCCGCTTCTATACGACTTCTTTCGACGTCCTTAGTGTTCTTAGGCCTTCTTGAACTCTCTTCATCCCTCGCTGGAGGTCATTTGACAGTCGAACTAGGAGACGATCTCCTACTCCTTGTACTTGGCAAGAACTGATAGTTCCACGTTTTACCCAGCAAAGGTGACCAGCTAAGTTTTAAGGCAAAAACAATTTAGCTGCTCTCCAACTCCTAAACTTCCACACGATCTACGGAAAAGATTGGACATGCTCAAACTTTGCCTGTCATCGACCGGTCAAGATTCAAGAGACTAGGGACATAGCACTGGACTGGAGTCATTGAACGTCTGATTTGAACACGCATCCCCGGGCCCCAAGAGGTGACAGGCTGATCACCCCTAAACGTCATCTCTCTCGTCTTCCCTCTCGCCTTCTCTCTTACCACCAAGACGAACAATCACAAAACGGCCGCAAGTAGTGATCTTACGTTTTTACAAAGTTCCAAATTAATCCAACACAATACCAGAACTTTAGGTCTCGAGCTGCCGACTAATAGTTTGGATCAAAGTATGCTCTAAATAAACTACAAGCTCACTTTAAACTTCGTACAAAAACAATTTTGCTGAAGTCCTCTAGAAACGCTTTCTCTGTTTTCAATAACGATCGTGCAATAACTGCCTTCCGCCGTCTTGCAGTGCATGTCTGTGCTATCAACCATGTTCCGGATATGCTCCTGGAATATGGAGAGGCGGATTCTCGATTAGCTCCCAGAAGTCTCCCGTAAGCCCCTCGACATCAAGGTCCCATATCAGATTCCAATCTTGGGTGCGAGGGCCAAACGTAAAGGACATTAGTCGCGGGCCGTACAAGCGCGAATCGTCTCCCGGTTGGAGCATGCTAAGTTTCTGCCAGCGATCGAAGTTTCGATGGCTAGCCTTATGTATCTCTAGCTGGCGCCGTCCATATTCTGCCAGATCTATGCCTGATGCTTGAACATCCTCAAGCCAGGAGCTCATGGTCTTAGTCAATCGACGCTTGTTCAAGCGCATATTGCTAGTTGACATGTACTTTCCTCTCAGATGCTCCATCCCACAATACAGACCTGTTAGAAAAGGATTTGATGCAAAGGGGTCTGCGTTCTCTGAAGGTTGCCACACTAGCTCATCCATCGAAATGTCCGTCAAGACCCATGCTGCAAGGTCTTTCCAGTCTTCGAAGTCTGTTTCATTATACCTTCTATCCGAATATTCGTGTTTGTGTGGAACCATGCGTCCAGGTGCGATCGAGAAATATTCTCTAGCGAAGTCCACGATTGTTGCCATCCATGAAACCTTCATTACGCTTTCTCTGAAAAACTGTGAGTGGACTCTTTTGTTGTGACAGAGCTCTAGGAAAAGCCGGGGGTCTGTCTGATACCATCTTATATTTCGAAACAGCTCAGAGATCGAAACTTCGCCGTGGATAGCAGTTCTCTCCCCAACAAAAAGTGAGAGTAGTCCAGGAATTGTCCAAACGTAGCGGCAGACTACACTGAACTTTAGTCCACGGGTACGTGTAGGTCCGAATATCTTTTCGCTCAGGTTTTCAAGGAGCCCAAATTCAGCTGCAAACTCGAACCATTCCAGAGCGTCATCAATGTAGCGGAGAAGCGATCGGAGATACCAAGTGGTTTCAATGGAATCCAGCAAGCCCGACCCTTCAATTTCAAAGCCCAGGTCCACAAGACTTCTGGCAACAGCGAAATGGGCGTCTCGCAACGCAATCTATGTGTTCATTCATAGTCAGCTTCCATTTGTGATGCACATCCCAGGGTAATGGTTTCTCCACTAAGGGACAACGTACATCTAGGAGAGAATGCCCGAGCTCGTTGCGGTCTGAAATGGACGCTCGACCACTATTCAACTGCTCCGCGATTTCAGGCCACGAGCCTTTCTTGACAAGGTCAAAGATTTGATCGCCGTTCGGACGGGTGGTCCAAGGTCTGATCGACATGTTCCACCCCATAGGGCTGCTGTATGCTTCAAAGTCCCAGGCTCTTCCGGACAAGCACCATGGAAGTTGTAGCCGCACTTGAAACACTTCTATATGTCAGGAGCAAATCTTCTTCGTTGGAAAGTAATGCACTCACCTGGTACTCCCGGCTTTTGGGGATGCTCTGAAGTCTGGTAGATGTACCCGCCTAATAGTCGTGGCCGGCGCCACTCGATCGGCTTCAGCTTCTGCCTTTTCTGATGTCTTTCTCCTTGGACTAGGTCAGACTGGTTTGATAGCTCAATTACGTCTTCTACAATGTCGGTATCGGAGTTGTCCAGATCTTCTTCAAGCCGGTTGGGCTGGACATTGTGCACGATTTGAGGCACCAGATGAGACTGAACCAAGGACCTGGATGGCACTGTTAATATTATTAATACATATGACTACTTTCTTCAACTCACAAAAGCTGATCCACTTTATCATCCGTGTTCCTGTGTAGGCTAATAAACTGCAAATGCAAGGCTTGTGCCTCCTTCTGTGAATGCAAGTTGTGCACATTGAAGAAGAAGGAAAGTGTCTGGGAAATGCTGTCCATTTCCTTGTGGTAACGGCGAATCAAAGTCTTGCTCAATGTTGCCTTCAGCTTCGTCAAGTTCCTCTTCCCCCTTTTCGCTGTCGCAATCCGTTGGTTCAAATCCGCAGCTAAAAGGTGAAGCTTCCCAGACACCTCCTTGTAGTGATGCATTAGTAATAGAGCCGTATCAGTAGATGGGTTTTGGGCCTGATTGTTGAAGACTGCCTCGGCCTCTTCCAGCATCGGTTTCAAATGCGTGAGATCTTTCATCAGTCGATTGATCTCTTCAAGGATATCTTGTGCCTCATCCCAAAGTTTCTTCGTCGTGAGAACGCTTTTCGCGAAGATTTCTGCCAAGGCGACCGCACTCGAAACGGCGCCGAGCACCTCCATGTTGATTGACTTGAGGTATGTTCTGGCCTAGTGCGGCTGGGTCAAATCGGTAGATGGGCGACTTTGGCATCTGAAGGCTGTGTGTTCGCTCCGGGGATATCGTGATGCTACAAAAAAAGGAGAGGACACCAACAGCGTTCGTTTTCTGTGCTACAAGGAACTTCTCCATCTTGAAAATGCGACCTAATGCCAAGGGTATACCTAGCTTATGTTGGGCAATCTGCCAGCTAAGCCACCTCACGTATGCAGGATCTGCCCAATCATTTGTCCTTGTGTTACCAAGAAGGGGGCGCTTAAAATCTTACTTCTGCAGGCTGAGATGGGTCCTCTCTGGGTTTGCGAGCTGTGGTTCTGCCTCGCGAAACGCCGTTACAAACAGGCGAATTAATCAGGGAGCATAGGATATATCTACGTTACCATCAGACTATGTAGCCTGTCACTCCGTTCAATTTCCATGTCGGGAATGCATGTATTTGTGATCCGGTGAGTCTGATATCCCAAGTATAGAACCACGGTCTCCCCTAACATGCATCTTTCAGGAAGCCAAAGGGCACATTGAACTCCGTAAATCGGAGAAGTGGAATCTCCGACTTCTCATCGATCTTCCGCTTGGGTTTAACCGGGAAAGAGCTGTGAAGTCAATCATGCTATTCTTCTGATAGGTGGATGCAGAATGCTTTTGAATGTTAAGATAACGTCAAGTCTTTTCTACAATTTTGATTTGGTCAGTAGATATTGGAGAGCATTGATTCATCGTTGAGGTTCAAAGCCTTGTTGGGATACTGCGCAGGGCAATGCAATTGTAGCTAAGATTTCCAGCGATAAGAGTGAGTCTTATAGGTGTCACTGCGCTCTTCCCAAGCAACACTGTGATTGCGGAATGATTGGGTCATGATTGTATCCGTGATGTTCTCTGAGAGCTTGGCTATCCGGACAAATACTTAGCTAATCAGGGCAAAGAACCACTTATTATCTATCTGGACTTGTTTATCATGGTTACATCTAGTTTCTTAGTATTCTTGTTGTCGTACCACTTTCTATGACCACTGCTACTGTCGGCGTTATCGTTATTATGATCGTCAACGTTATTAACATCGACCACGTCGCTGGTATCAAATCATCACGAGCCGCCCGGATAGCCAGAATAATCCGCTCAAATGATAAACAGCGTCTCTAATGGTATCTTAGTTGTTATGGTATGAGATCGCAGACGTTCAGGATGATAAACACTCATTGAGAGGCTTCAAGAGGACTGAAAACGTTCTCGTAGACGCTTCTGTAATGAATGAGATATCTCACTGTTACCATTTCTTCTTCATAATCTCATGGGCCATACACATCAACGGGGTCACTATCAAAATGTTATGAAGGAGAAAGTATTATGTTACCACGGCCTGATGCCATCGCGACTCCATCAGCGCTGCCGCAGGTGCAAATATTTACTAACCCTTCCAAGTAAATCTGACCAAAGGGAGGCCATCGCCACGCCCAATTAAGCAAGTTCATACCCCTTAATTGACTCGAATACCTTGATTGATTCACCTATTTATAGATTAGCCTATAGGAGGCTATAGATCCGTCCTAGCCCCACTTATCTAGGTATACTATGAGGGCATACGTAAGGGGCCATAGGAGGGGGGGGGGGGATGGCTAGGAATAAGGGATCTAAGGGCTCTAAGGGCTCTAAGGGCTCTAAGGGCTCTGAGGGCTCTAAGGGCTCTGAGGGCTTTATAAGAGGGGGGTTTAGGGGCTATGAGGCTGTAGATAACTTCAGAATTACCCGATTAGGAAGTTACTATAACGTAGTTTTATACTATAATTGAATTATTTTAATTGCAACGTAGCCAATTAATCAAACCCTCGTGAAAAAATCTCATCAATAGCAAGTTTGGGGGTCCAATTTGCTTTGATTGCACTTGCGGCAGCGCTGGACTCCATGACAATTCACGCCATCTCACCTCCTTGGTATTATCATGATCGACCGGTTCCATCCGCTGCGCTCTTCACTAAGGTGCTTGTGTGACGTCTCATACCCGCCCAAGCCGTGGACTCCCATGTGACATGTATCCGCAACGCCTCTCTGCGCACTTGAAATGCCGCCGCCACCAGCTGTATTCCTCATTGGGTCGCGGGACATCCCGCGTCAAGATCGCCATGAAAGCTGATCACCCCAAGTACCGAGACATGCGCATTTTAGTGGCCCATTCGATTGCCAATGTGCCAAGGCCCAACGTCCAAAACATCTACGCAAGAGGCTGGACGCGAAAACCTTGAGCTCAATCTTTACTGGCAGAAAGCCTGGAGCTGAGCAGCATGATGGGCGACTGAAGTTGAGATTTAGTTTAGACTCGTATTACTAGGGCGCCAACGCGAAGAGCTGAACGTCCGGCGCCCGCTTCAGCACCTCGTGGCGATGTTAGCTAGTGATCTTCGAAAACTCAAGCTCTACCTTAGCGGCCGCCTCCTCCACATTGAGAGCCACCTACGCAAACGTTTCGAACAGCTGAACGCCTTGCTGTGTCCGGGTGCCCTTAGCCGAAGGTGAAATGATATCCGAGGGGATAACATGTCTGGCGTTTCTTGGCGAGCGGTAGTTAGGAGATCAATGTCTTGGTTTCTTGGGGAAGTTTGTCGATCCCACGTTCAGCTGTCATTCTTCCACAGCCCCAAGAAAATCATCAAGTCGCCCCAGCCTACTGTGCGAAAACATCAAACCACACTCAATGGCCAGAAATACCGGATCAACGTGTCAGACACCCTCATGTATTCTGAGACCGATCTAGGCCAGCGAGGGCTACGCCAACTAAATCCGCGCCTAAAGCCTGCAAGGAAGTGGCTTTTGGAACACACACATCATTGAGCAGACGCCGTCCCAGGGATGAGGAAAATCAAAGTGTCGTAAACAGTCTAGCCCTCTTGATAATTCCTTGCATTGGAGTTAGCGGCATGTGCATTCTGCGTAGGATCCCCAACACGACCAGCTTCTCCAGAACCCTAGTTTGAAAGATCAGGCTTGCTTCACCCATCCCTCCGTACAGAATCTCTGCCTATCGACAGAATCTGAACGACACTTTGAACAGCCACAGCAGCCCAGTATGTCTACCACCTTTACCACCACCACCACCATCACCAAGACGCCTGGCTTCGCGTATGTGAACACGACACCGTTATTGTTCTGCGTACCAGGCCAACCGGGGAACCCAAGAATTTCTTGCAAAGGTATCAACACCATTGTACCATGGCCCCGGGGCTCGCAGCTCCGCTATTCGATAATATCGCGAAAAGAGAGCAAGACACCAGAATTTGTGATCAAAATCGTCAAAGAAGCTATAGATGAGTGGTTTACCGGACTTGGAAAAACGCTTGAAATGAGAGAGGCACGCGCTGGCGAGCTTGCAGACATTCGTATATCATTTCGAAATGACATGCCAAGTTGGAGCTGCATCGGCGCTGTGGCCGCTGGTATCTCGTCAGAGGTGGAGCCCACGATGAACTTCAACTTCGGCGGATGGAAGAGCTCTAAGGCTGTTTATTCGCATGCCTCTATCAAGAGGCTCGCCCTTCATCTCTGTGGTCACGCTCTCGGACTGTGAGTGATGCCTCTTTCTCGACTAAAGAAAACAACCGCAGCATTGCGCAAATATCTAGAGAACTGACACAGCGTTCTAGACCCCATGCCAAGCTGAATCAGTGTCCGTTGCCATGGAAGAAGGATGAAGTGGATCGGGAGTGCAAGTCTCCCAATGCCGAACTGCTCACGGGCGCCGAAGGCTGTGACCAGCTACGGGATCCCGAGTCAATCATGCATTACGATCTCCCTGCTCGCCTAACCAACGGCAACACCGACATGCGACAGGGTGGCTGTTCCATAGACCAAGAGGCTCGAAGTCTTGTGCAGTCTTTGTACCCAAAAGCTTCGGAAGCTTTCTTCCTTCATTGCGATACGTCCAACGCCTCGCTATTCCCAGACTTCAAGCCGGGAGCAAAAATGGCCAGCGCTCGACACTTCTTCGACACATCTTGTACCGCCAACATCGTGACTGGTATCCGCAAGGTGGACATGGGCGTTGATGCCAACTTCCGCCTCAAATCAGAAGTCTCCGACATCAATGAAGGCGTGGGTTACAATATCGACATAGGAACGTGGCACGAGACACACCTGAACGCAGCCATATGCAACGTTCTTTCCTTTAAATCGGCGGATGAAAGAGTTCGGACTGGAAACGTGAGATGGGACGGTCTGACTGGTGAAAACGAGCGCTGTCAACGCCAGACCTTTGCAAAACCGTTCAGCCAGACCCCGAGTGTCGTTGTCTTCATCAGCTCGTTTGACACTGATGATAAGGAGTTTTTGCGTATCGACGTGGCGTCCTCGGATGTTGATAGAAACGGGTTCACAGTGCATCTGAAGACCTGGAATGGTTCGTCCCTCTCTTCTTCCCTATTCTCTGTAGCCTTGACCGTACTCGGAAACCCCATTCATGGTGCCCTTGCGCAGACTCATGACACGATGGCTGACTACCCTGTTTCCAGATTCAAGGATTTACAATATCACGGCCTCTTGGGTTGCCCACGAGCCAGATGAGTGGTCCATCCGCTCCGGCCCTCTCGACATTGCGTTCGATCAGCGTCGGACAAAGAGCGTGAAACTTACAAGAGACTACGTCTTTCCAATGAAGGAGAAGCCTGCCTGCCTTTTCTATGCGTTTTCACATATTGATGTGAAGCCCGACAAAAATCTCCAAGTAGATCTGTACGCGACTTGTGACGAGAAAAGGGTGTCCGCAGAGTTCAACACGTGGGATGATGAGAATGGTTTCTTTCAATGTAAGGGATGCTATGTTGCGCTTGCTCAGGTTTCAACTGAGAAATTAGTTACTGGAAGCGAGTTAGGTTCTTAGTATTGCCTTTCTCAATGCGACTGGCGTAGAACATAATCTCAACTATTATGACTATCAGCGAGTGGAAATTGCATGCAAAGTATATATGAGAAAACGTGCGATTGTGCCCAGCCCATGAACGCCATGTCCCATACGACAGACATGTTCAATAGATACTTCCGAGGGGACTAGATCGCTAGTCAAATTAAAATATTGGATCATGGAAACATTTTGACTTGATTCTCCGGTACAAAAACACGATGCTATAACACGCGGCGTTACACGCCTCGACTTAGTTCAGGGGCCGTTGAAAACTACTACCAAACATGATTATGTTGTTGAGATGTATTCCATATTCTAGCTGGTGAGCGCCTACACCTTGAGGTATCGTGGCTGGGTCGACTGACCAAACTTCATGCCTCTCCGTCATCGCTGTCTGCGTCAATCGTAGTCTTGGTTGCGGCAACCAACTTGAACTGAGAATATGTTTGCAGCATAGTGACAGTGATTACACTTTCGATGATAGCATCATTCTCGTCCAGCTTCAAGAGATCTTTCAGCTGTCTAGCGCTTTGGGTCTCCAGTGCACCAGGTGCAGGCTTCTGATCCGGTTTGCTGATGCGTTTGAACTTTTGAGGATCCTCAAACTGGCCGTAGATGCATGTTGCAATGTCCTTAGCCACCAAATGCATCGGAGCCACGGCAAGAACAGGACCTACGCCCACAAGAGCAACGGTGCCGACAAGTGCGAGAATTCGAAGCCCGGCAGTGACCCTGGCACCGATGCTCGAGAGAGCAGCTTTAACGGCTTCGAACTTGTCGCTTGCTTCAGGATCGTCGGAAGTATCGAGAATATTCTTCTGACGCTCTTCAGGGCTGGCGCCTTTGTTCAGGTTGATGATTTGTTCAATGCTGTCATCGACATCATCCATGGCACTTTTGACTAGCCTGACAAATTCCGCGCTCGGCTCACCATCGACATCTTCGTTGTCATCATCTTTGCCTCCAGATGACTTTGGCTTCTTAACGCGGGTCTGCGTAGTTTTGATGGATATGCCGATGACTCTGCATAAGATCTCGATTTTCTCAACCGTCTTCTGTGGGTTTTGTGAAATGTCTTCGTCAAAGTTTTCATCTGAAGTGTCACCTTCAGATTCGTCACTGAGACCGCCTGACTTCGGGTCCCGTCTATCGGCAGCTGCATCGTTCTCCTTTTCAGAGTCGGGCCTAGGTCCCTTCCCATGTTTATGTCCTCGCAGTGGGTCGGAATGAGTATTCCCACCACCATTATGCTCATGGTTGGGCTCCTTCTCATGGTTGGGCTCCTTCTCATGGTTGGGCTCCTTCTCATGGTCGATGCCGCCTTCACTGTTGACGTCTTGAAAGTCGTCATCTCCGGGACTGTTTTCTCGCGGTTCTCGATGGTCGAGCCTTCCATGCTGGTTGTTTTTCCGGTTGCCTTGCGGACCTTTGGCTTTGTTGTTCATTGTGAAGTGTTGTGATGGTGTGTAATGTGAAATGTGCTTGAATGGAATGGTGTTTTGTGACAATGTGTCTGAAGTCTCTAAGCATATTACAGGTTTTCATGGTAGACCAGCGGTTCTTCTAACTTAAGTAGCTCAAAGCCCAAAGACACAAACTCAGCCAAAATTGTCCTTTGCTTTGCTTGTGATAATGCTACGTCAACGCCTACTGATGATGCAAGTGGCTGAGACGGCAATTCCACTGCAGAAAGTCTTGCTGCACACCACGACTTTCCTAGACATATCTGAGCGATGAAGATCCTGAAGGTACTCAACAGTGGTACAAAAGAAGAAGGGAGGCACGCTTTTGGAGGCCATTCGCCTATGGGTCATGTGGGTAGTGTAATAATCCAACGGCTCTGTTAGTGGCAATGAGCGGAGGCCGTCCTGACTGCACAGTGCGGGCGCGGACGATACAAAGTGCCAATTTCCACATGAACAAGCCAGCTGAGGCCATCTCCTTAGGCCCCGAGACATGGACTTTTTGGCTCCCGCCAGGTACAGCCAATAGAAGCCTGCCCTCAGTAACCATAATACAAAGCCACCAGCAGAGGGCTAGAAGGGAGGTAATGAAGGTATTATGATCCCTCCGGAAGCAGTCTTTAGAGGGTAGGTACTCCAGAGCCCTTCAGAGCCCTCCTAGCAAACCAGAGGCCAGCGTTCACACCACTTTATCACGATACCTATACTACTACTACCTTAGTAGGAGACGTTGAGGTAGCTATGGGGGCCGCTTAAATGTCCATGTTTCAGGCCTCAAGGAGATGAGGCGCATTTGTGGTACATAGAGAAAAGGCACATCTTCTTAAAATCTACTTGGTTATCGTTGGGTATGTAGGTGACGTAGGAGGCTCAAGCTATCAAGCTAGAGAATTGGAGGAGCATGGGGGGAGTGGGCTAGCACGCTAGGTCTCTTCGCACAGGCCTTGAGCGAACGCGGTTCTGGCAGTTCGAACTTGACTGTTTTGGTGACATTGTGCGATGCGTAGCGCGACTGTGACAGATCGTCAAATAGCCAAGCTAGCATGTACCAAACTCCCTTGCGAGCTTGCCGTAAATGGTGCCTGGACCACGCCACCGAGTACAATGTCTTACAGCGGGCTGCAGCTTGGCACAGCCAAGCTGAACCTCGACAGAGTCTGGTATCATTCTGCCAGCCCACCAATCTGTGGAAACAGCGTCCATCAACCGCCAGATTCATTCGATGCTACCGTGATTTCCATTTCGCAACGCACATAGTCGCGATTCACGACAATCCCCAATTTGTCCAGTTTACCAAAGACAGGCGTCGAAACTGCAAGCCATTATTTTTCTCGCCACCAAAGCTTGCCAGCTCACTCTGGAAACTGGGTAATTCCCGTTTGAATCAAGCAAGGACGTCAATTTTCGTCATGACACTCCAAGATATCCTCGCTCCCAACTTGTGCCGCTACAAGGCGCAACTGGACGGAGAGTACGTCTCTACTCGAGTTGTTACGCACAATGGCACTACAATCGCCGTCGCCTTGGCCAAGGCAAAGAATGGCGTTCTGTCATTCAACTATTCAATCCTCGATACTGCAGCTGGCAGTCAGATGGACAAGGAGCAGGCGTCGAGCACAGCCGCGATGGACGAAAAGCCTGACTCGAAGTGCTGGTTCGTTAACGTGAAGACACTGAATTTTCCGTCAGAGGTCAGGGTTATCGGTGAAGAGGCCGTTCCTGTCTACCAGATCCCCGCAGTCGATCGAAGCAACCGAAAGACTGTCCGATCGCCGGCTCATGGGCAGAAGCTTGACGAATGGCTCTCCTCCTCCTTATGCCTCATTGACCAGAACGTTTTAGACTTCCAACTACTTTCCGACGGTCGTTATGTGTACTTGTTCCGTCAGAGTGCACCGATGGAGAATGGGTTTCCGAACCAGTTCATGATAGAAGGAGACGCCGGAAGACCCCCAGTAGACCGCAACCTACTCTGTGACCGCTTCATACTTGTTGGTTCAAGTCTCGATCAGCCTTTGGAGGCTCGATATCAGCGTAGCCGACAGAAACAGATCCCGCTGAACGACCAGGATACCCTCAGTGTCAAGGACATCAATGACGAACCGTTCTATGAACCAACATATTCACTGAGATTCGTCCAGGACCTTGAACTCGGTCGCTTTTGCGTCCTCCGAGCCCCCACCATGATCAACAACGTGGCCAAGTGGATGATATTCGCCTACTCCCACAAGACAGGAGAGGTGGAGTGCTTGACCACTGATGTTTCGTCAAACGGTCTATTTGATCTCCATGGCCATGTTTACTACACTTGCAAAGTGAAGGAGCATGGCAAGGTGTTTGCCAACGGCCCAGGGCCTTGTACGGCCACAAGAAAGGACGACGGGAGGATATGTGGCAAGGCGCGGGTCCCAATCTTGCCCAAGACGCCCGCATCAAAGCGTTCGGTGGAGCTGAGCGATCAAAATGGACTCGTTCTACAAAATCAAGATCATCCGGAGATAATAGGCCTACTGGAGGGCTTCACACTCGAGGTCTGGGTCTGGGTGCAGCCGGAAGATTCCATAAATGACACTGGAAACTTAGCAGATGGATCTGTCAAAGGAGGCTTCTCTCTTTTTCGCTTCTCCCAGAATTGTCCCGGAGTGTTCATTAACGACAAGTGTCATGTGGAGATTCGGAAACCTGGGGAGGATGATGCTCTCGTTGCGTCAGGTGCGGCTCTTGAAGCGAAAGTTTGGAGTCACGTCGCCATCACCTACGATCCAAACACTTTGAGTTACGCAATCATAATCAACGGCGTGATTTCTGGATCTATCACCAGTGAATTACGCCCTGGAGCTCTATTGGGTTTTGGACCGCAGTCAAATGGATCGTCAAGTTGCTTCAAAGGACTCTTCGACGAAATGCGTTTATGGCGTCGTCCGCTCCATCCTTCGACCATCAAGTCCAAGATGCACTCCCGCGCCACAGGTCTCGAACTGGATTTGAAGTCGTGCTGGCACTTTGACGAAGGTTCCGGCATGACAGTCTTCGATGCGACCAGCAACCATCATCTAACGATTACTTCAACTGAAGGAAGAACGACATCTCCAGACGTCTGGCAAACTTCCTCTGCGCCAATGGTGGGAAGCCACGGCATCGCGCGCAAGGTTCTACGCGTACCATCTTCAGTGAAGACCACAGGCGGTCTCTGTGCCACAGTCTACAACGAGCAAGTCGCCGTATCAGAGGAGAAGGCCAACACGAATGATGGATCGAGCTCGACGCCAGATGCTGGTGGCAATGATGAGCCCAAGAACATGAAGCGTGGTGCCAGAGTGCTACTGGGCTTTGTTGTCAACGACAAATCCCCTCCACGTTTGGCCATCCTAGACTTCTGCTTACTTTCGGACGGTACACTTTGCGATATGCCCGCGTTGATACCTTTGCCAACTCTGAGCATGCCATATCCGACTTCTGGAGACACATCGCCCCATCATGATTCATTGGATGTGTCTACGGCGCTCCTATACGTTGGGGGAGAGGGCTTAGAGATCTTCGGAGGGATCCTTCCACTGGATACGGTCGAATGTGAGCCCTCTGTGCCATGCGCCTTTGAATCTGGCACGGGAAGCGTGACAATCTTCTTCAAGGGCAAAAGTCTTGATAGATGTTCATTCTCGGCTCTCAAATACAACATATCTCGCAAAGTTATAGCCACTGAACTCTCGGCGTCAATCCTTGGTGGTCACAGAGGCCTACTATCGACGAGCAAGCTCCAGCAGGCTGTTAACGTAGTCTTTGAGACGAAACAATGTCCATGGGCAGTGGACGGCTTAGCTGTCGATCTTACTCTGACAGCGAATATGCCCGACGGCAATAAGATAATCGAGACATGGGCAGGTGAGAGGGAATTCTTACTCGAACGTGCATTTCTAACTACTAATCCGAGAAAAACACAGGACTCCCATCACAGATCGACAAGTTTTGCAGCCTGATCAACGGTTCAAAGCCAAAAGGTTGCAAAATTGGTACGCTACTTGAGCTGAATGACATCACGGTAGGTTTGGTCGAAGCCAATCTCGATTACATCACTTAGCTTGCTTTTCGGTCAAGTCTAACACTTTATGTATAAACAGAAAACCGGCTACGCAAGTTCCAAAATACCGTCCGTGGCAATCAGCCTTCAAGCAGGCTCTAAATCCCCCGTTGAGGCAGGAACATTTCTCAGCATCGGTAGTCGAGGCTACTTTGTTCTGCAAGATGCCAAGATTGGAGACGAGGTTCTCGTGGCCAATTTGTTCGTCGATAAGAGACCGGAAGGGAAGCCGCCTAAGAAAGGCCTCTTTGTACTATCTTCGACTTACGACCACGAAGATTTAGTCAAATGCGAGGGCAAGCCTACCGGAGATTTTAGAAAAGGATCTGGAATCGTCAGTATGGCTTGGTCCCCAGCTGCGGTGGCCAGTGGTCAAGCTGCCACATCATCATCAGCAAAGCTTCAAGTATCTGGTACTAGCTACATCACGGGCAATGGCCAGAGTCCAAGCTTTGGCTCTCCACCTCGCTCGACCTCTCTCCGACTCGACGGTAGAACGGCTTACTCAATGCTTGAAGATACGGTTGCCACAGCTGCTTGTGCTGGAATATGCTTCGAAACTTGGATCAAGGCCGAATCGAACTCGGAAGACACCATCGTAGTTGCTTATACATCAGAGCGATTGCCACGGGCCGATGGGTTTTCCAAAGAAGAACAGAAGTTTATCCTTGGCATCACGCAGCCACCAGACGGCAACGACACATATCACATAGTCGGCAGTATCAACGACTCGCAGTTCATGATCAAAGACCCCTCGGTCCTGAAACCGGGTCATTGGTCACATTTGGCATTTTCATCCAGCAGCACATTTGCAGTTCGATTCTCGGGCAATGGATACATCGACCTCGGTAAAACGGAGCAATGGAATGTCTCTGACTTCTCACTAGCTTTTAGCCTTCAGCTCAACGAGAAAGTTGACCACGAACAGCCCATTCTTGTCAAAGGCGACAGCAGCTCGGCTCCTACGCCTCTGAAAATTGAAATCACGAAAGACGGAAACATTCGCCTCTCTCACTGGGCCGCGGATGACGGTGGGAGCAACGTGCGGCAACGAACATTTGAATCGAGAGCTGCCTTGCTTACGGGCCAGGCATACAAGATATTTATTTCTCGCAAGGCGGTCCAAGTTCCAGCGGACAACAACATTCCGAAAACATGCCAGGTGGTTACCATGCGCGCGTGGCGTCTGAATGGAGAGTGTGACATTGAATTTTCTCCAGAAACCGAGGATAGATTCGAGCAACTGTCAGAATTGATGGGGGAAAACTCTCCCCGTCAAATCCATGGCGCTGTGCAGGGAAACGAGGCATCCCTCTGTCTCGGTGGTGCACGATGGACCGAGACACAGGGACTACAAGGCATCGTCGGATCCGTACAACTATACTCCTCGGCCATCCAAACCCCTGCATCTCCTTTGGAGCTGTGCAGGAAGGCGGCACATGACGACAGTCTGATAGGTTCATGGTCCTGCCGCGAACCGGGAGGATTCAGTCTTATCGATGATCTCGGCCGTAACAACGGCAAGCTTCAAGGTGATCTTGATTGGGTTGTCGGTCCGTACAAGTCGGATTATACACTTTCAATATTTCTCAACGCCATTCGAGTGAATCACGGGCAGCCGGATGTCTCCGGAAAGACCCTGCTCGACCAAGCGACTCCTGCAGGACCGCACCAACTGTCAGTTGGAAACATCTTAGTGTCCAATGAAGACGACGACGACTCTCGATTCCTAGGCCTTGAACAAGGATTCTGTGGCGAGCTAGATGAGTTGCGCATTTGGAACGTGCCTAGAACTAGCCAAGAAGTCTGCGACTCAATGAATACGTCTCTGACTGAGATTTCGGGGGATCTTGCTGTCTATCTGCCATTCCACGACGAGAAAGCGGACTTGGATGCATTGGAAAGGTCGCATCAGAATCTGACCTCTGTTCTCACCGACGCTTCAGTTAATTGCTGGCACTTAACACCCCTTTCTGGAGCTGTCACAACCACAAGAGCGTCCGAGGCCCCGGTCGGCCATGATTCTCCGTGTGTTAACCATACACTGGGTGCCAAAGTTCACCCACCTCATGGAGCCGACATTAGAGCTGGACCCTCAGTGGCTGAATACGGCGAAATGGAAATCAGTTCCAGCGGAAACATGGAAGGCAGTTATAAGCGGGCATACTCTTACATCGAAGAAGGCGGAGACTGGTGCCTTGTAACGGGCTTCCGCATCGGTGCGTTGAAGACTGAGTGGGTTAGTCAAGTCCAGACCTCGCCGACACTCATCGGCTTCATTGAGGGCGCACCGCCACTGCCCATCGAAAGCTTTACCGACAGAGACAGGCCGCCGACGACATCCGTGAAATTCGAAAACAACACTCGCTGCACGTACACGTACAGTGCCCGCTCCGAGAGTACTATAAGCGCCGAGCTGTCTTGGTCGAAGGGCGCTGGAATCAAGTGGGACGTCGAGGCTGGCGTGGCCGTCCAGACCGAGATAAGCGAAGGCAAAACCAGGGGCTCAGTGAGGCGCGGAATTGATACCTCATGTGGCAAAGTCAACAACGAAGTCCATACGTCGACGACAAACAGCAATTTGGAGATGGCGGTTCAACTTACAAGCATCTGGAAGGAAAGCACCAGCGATGACAATGACTCGAAGAGTGAGGGATTTGAACCTGTCAACACGGGTCTTGCGCTTGTCGAGAGTGAGGTTGCCGATGTTTTTGCGCTTCGACTCCAGATGCGTGGGTCAATCGCACCCGTTGTTGCTTATCAGCTCCGACCCAACCCGGATATTCCCAAGGACCGCAACTTGATATCTTTTAATATCAACCCGAAATACACCAAACAGGGCTGCCTCGATGGTCGACACGGGTTGAAGAATGATCCGGACTATCCTGCTATGGCATCAGCCCCGAAAGATGCGTCGTACTATAAGCCAGTTGAGGCCTACGCACTTCGCGAGCGCATTAGACGCGCGGAGGAGCAACTCCAGGGAGAATATGATCGGCGATCGGTTGCCCCTGTGAATTACCTTACAGACCTTCCACAGCGTACGCATCGAAACATCTGCAACGCGTACGTCTGGACGGCCGACGGAGGTACGTTCCAGGAGACACGTTCGACTCTTGACATGGTCCAGTCGGAGATAGGAGGCAATCTGGACTACAGGAATAGCGTAGGTGCTTCAGTTGAGACAGAAGTATCGATCGGTAGCTTGCTTACCACCGGTACTGTCGATGCTATGGCTAGCGCTCATTTCAATTTTGTGATCACAAAGGAGAAGGCATCGGAAGAAGGCTTCGAATTGGTCACTGAGTTGCCCCCACCAGTCGACCTTAGGTGTCAAGATCCGGACACGGGCGAATATATCAAAAGGGCTGGTGCCGTTGATGCGTATAGGTGGATGAGCTTCTGGCTTGAGCCAAGCGTGGAGGCAACGGATACTTTCTTCGAGCACGTTCTCAATCACGCCTGGCTTGAGCAGTCACCGGAGCCCAATGCCCAACTGTTGCGGACTCTGCGCGAGGGCCTGAAGAATGAAACTGGCAACGCGCGAACGAAGGCCTGGCGCGTCCTGCATCGCTGCACATATGTCAGCCGCATACCCGAGAAGATTGAGCCCCGCCCAAGGGCCGCGATGGCTCTCAAGGAACAAAAGCCATCGACGCTTTTGGCAGACATTGGATGCAATTGGCTTTTGATCCAGAAGTTGGAGCCATTTGCCCGCGATGCTGTTTCGCGGGGAAATCTCGCGACCACTTTGAAGCCTCACGTTCTGAGGTTCTTCCCGACCCTGATCGCCCAGAGTCGTTTGTACAACCAGGTGCTGGACATGTTGGCAGATTATGTTGGACTGTCTTGATGGTCTATCATATTGAGCTTTTCTAGCCGGGCGGTGTCCACACACACGAGCGTAATCCATAGCCCGTGCCAAAGCATCACCGTCGTTATCGCCGTAGACGTCGCTACTGTTATCGCTATCGTTGTCGTTGTCTATCGCCGTCGGCCTTTATCGTCTTTGTTCTCTCTACTACTATACTGGTCATAGAGGACACTGCCCGGTTAGCAAAACTCATTGTCTTTGCTGGAGTTCTTCGAGAACATAGAGTATGGCCGACCTTTCGTCTCAGAGCATTTGTGTTGCGTCAGGGCAGGATGGTGCTGTAGATAATCACAGTCCCTACTGGTAGCTTATAATCCTGATTTCATTTTTTGATGAAAGTCTTAGAAAGTCTTAAGGACACTGCGTCTTCCCCGTCTTCATGAGGTTTCCATGTCGAGGTCCCTGATAAATGAGGGCAGACAAGAAGATCTAGACTCTGAACCTCAAGAACACCCGCCTGCAATGGCCTGTCTTCGTCTAGATCTTTTGACAAAAGGACTTCATAACGAATTTCTGGAGAGGTACCTAATGAAAGAGGAGGTATACAAGCCTCTCGGCGTAAAAGATCGTGAAGACCCATGTCAGAGTCATGTCTCCACCGAACCACGATACGTTCGAGAATAAATTTCCAACGCGGATCGTTGCCATTACTTTGTATGCAAGCCATGAAAACAAGATGAGGAGACCGAGTCTACTTAATGAATCAGCGGGAGTATCAGCGACAGCCGGGTCTGACGTACATTCGCAGGTTTGTGAGTAGACGGCAGATGAACTTCGCCACGCCGGTATGGTTCCGGCACGCATTGATAGCCAACTGATTTGAACTCAAAACCCTAGACTCATCCTGCTCGCTTGATGCTTGCTTTTTGATATCAATCGGCGGCTTAAAGTCTGCCATGACGGCTGCCGAGTTGTAGGTAGAGTGAGGAGTTGGCTCGGTAGGGGAAAGAGCTTTCAATTCAATTTTCTTTATGGGCTGTCAAGGTAGCTGTCAAAACCACGAAACGCACGTCCCTATTGGGAGTGGGAGGCAGCAAATGAGTTATTTCAACCAACAAGGTGTACACCTGGTTTATGGAACCTGGGAAGTACTCACCCTCTGGTATCTACATTCGGCGGGGACTTCAGATGTACAAATTAGGATCCTCTGCAACTCTCACGGTAGCGTAGTTAGTACTTCCAAAAGAACAACCATAGCAAGGAAAACAATAGGGTTAGCGATAGTAAATGAGGACGAGAGACCGTAACGATAGACAACGACGACAGCGACGACGGTGACAACGTAAGCGACTACACAGTCCGAGAGATATCCAGGGGTCTAGCAAGATACACGGAGTACACACGTTTATGTAGACACTTTCCAGATAGCCAACTGACATTGCCTGACTACTAGCGAAACTTTCAGAAGTTTTGTTTGACTGCAATGTAATTGTTAATGAGAGTAACTAAGAATTTCCATGTGCGCCGCGAGGATAAGCTACGAGTTCCCAAACATCTTTATGCAGTCTTGTATGCGATGGTACACAATCCCTAGCAAATGATTTCCACTGCGGCGTGGAGAACGGAGTGGCAGTCAAGATCGCCATCAGGGAGGGTGAAGTCGCTGCCTCCGCAGTTGGAACCACTCCACGTCTTGATCGTACAACCGCTTTTTCTCAAATCAGTACACTAAAATTCACGGAAAAGAAGGTCGGGTGCTTCATACCGCTTATCAGCGACCTTGATGGAGCGCTTGTTGGAGACCGGGATGCAACGACGGGCTCCGACGCCGGTGACCTCGAAGACCTGCTCGCCGTTCGTGCAGAGGTCGTCGCTGAAGGAGGAGACCTTGGAATGGTCCTGGCGAGACTCCAGCTGAACAGGGTTTGCGAGAGCTAGAGAGGCAAGGGCAGCGGCCATGACCGTGGTAACAGAGAATTGCATGCTGGAGGTGTTGATGTTAGATGTTGGTGGAAGGTATAGAGAACTGGTCGAGATTGTTGTAATTGTTGAGGCTTAGAAATGAAGATGTTGATATTGATGCCGGATGAGTACAGCTTTAAAGTGGAAACAAGCCGTCATTTTATATATTCTTGAGACCCTCTCGAATGGTGTAAGTACTGAAGTCTAGAGCTGCGGTAGTGAAGCCCCTGGGCTGAGCATCCCATGTCATCATGATCAGATGAAGCGCGAAACCTTGACCTTCTCATCGTTCCACCGAACCTCAGGCGTATTCACACGCCCGACTTAACGGATCGTGGATACTTGGCATGGATTTACATGCAGATCTTTCAAAAGGACTTTGGCTGACGTGAGAGGTGTCATTGTTTCAGTAACGCGCTGTACTTCCGCGCACAACAAAATCGTTGCAATACACGATAGTGATCGGCGTAACGATCATCTACGAAGACTCTCACTAAAGAATTTGGGTTACAAATGTCAAGAGCTCACAACACGAGGCCCCTGCATCTGGCCCCCAAATGGCGGGTAAGTGCCGTCTAGGAGCCGAACTTATCATGGGACGGAATCCTTCCAAGGCAGCAGAAACAGTATTGACAAGTAGGATGACATTCATGTGTGCGCATTGAAACAGACACAGGAGGATTTGGTGTTCCTGGCAGTAGTCTCAACTTAAGCATCTGCGATGGGGACTGATGCTTGTCTCTGCTTGTCTGCCAGGGAGCCGTCCGATTCGCGAACACCCGCGGGTAGGGTGGGATGGAGGCGTATTGCTTCCGGCAGTGTCCAAGTAAACGCCTTGCTAACTCGTCCAGAGCAAATTTGGGCTGCTACGCTGCGCATGTGGTTAATAATATTTCACAAGTAATTGGCAGCTCCGCCCGAACTCTGTCGAAGTTTGGGGCTATTCTTGGCGAGGGGATGCATGATTGGTGATATTGATGACAGGCAGTTAGCTTCCCCGTATTTCCATGGCAGAAATGCAGTCGGATTATCAGATATAGACTAAGGTGGTTCTGTTCGCGCGCTGGCCATTAATTGCATTGCATTGCATACAGACTTGTAGAATACCATTGTGATAAGATGCCTTTTCTGGTTGAGTTCCATGAAGAAAGAACGCCAAGTCATGACCGTCAATAGCCGAAGCCGGCGTCGGGGGAATATCGGAATCAAGCCGCGATTATGTCATCGTCCGGGTTTAGCTGTAGTGCCCCTGACTGCTTTTTACCCCGCCAAAAGAGAAAGCCACAGCGGTGCACCGACAAACGGGCGGCTCACCCCGCTGCAGATGCCACGGAGGTGACCGAAAATCGGGTCGCAAATGGCGTAATCCAGCACCGAATGGGGCCCAAGCACCGTCAAGCAATCAGCGTCGTGCAATTCGCCGACTTCTAACTCGAAGCTCAATTGAGGAGGGCGCAAGTTGTAGTAGTACGCCTTTCAAACGCCGTCCCGTCCTGCCTCCGGTTGTTTCCCTCTTTCCATCCTTCCATGAACTCTTTCCTCCGCCCTGTCCTCCGGTCTCGCATCCCCAGCAGCGCCGCCAGAAGAGGATTCCACGCGACGGCCACGATGAGTCTTAGCAGCAAGATCAAGCCCGCGGCCAGAGTCGCCGGACGCAGACAGGATGTTTGGTGAGATAGGACCTCGATGAGGAGTCAGCAGTGACTCTAATCCTCAGGAATATGGGCCAGTGCTGACCATGCCTTGCAGGTCCATCATCAACGAGGCGGCCGCCGCCTCGCCCAAGCAGCCCATCGTCAACATGGGCCAGGGCTTCTTCGGCTACAACCCGCCCGACTTCATCCTCAACGCCGCCAAGCAAGCCCTGGACCGCGTCGAGTGCAACCAGTACAGTCCCACCAAGGGCCGCCCGCGCCTCAAGAAGGCCATTGCCGACGCCTACTCTCCCTACTGGGGCCGCAAGCTCGACCCCGAGACCGAGGTCACCATCACCACCGGCGCCAATGAAGGTGAGAGGGACTCCGTACCGAGAAGGAGATGCCCGATGAGACGGTGGACTGACGGTGGATCTAGGAATGCTCAGCGCCTTCATGGCCTTCATTGAGCCTGGCGATGAGGTCATCCTCTTTGAGCCCTTTTTCGACCAGTGAGATAGCACCGAAAACAGTGGAAGTGAGATGTAAGTGCTGACCCTGGAACAGGTACATCTCCAACATCGAGATGCCCGGTGGCAAGATCACCTACGTGCCCCTCCACCCTCCCAAGGACGGCGGCGAGAAGACCTCGTCCGCCGCCAACTGGACCATCGACTTTGACGAGCTCGAGCGCGCCATCACGCCCAAGACAAAGATGATTGTCCTCAACACACCGCGTCCGCCAACCCTGCCCCTGTTATCTCCATCTGACAATCGCCACTGACTCCCAACACAGACAACCCCGTCGGCAAGGTCTTTTCCAAGGACGAGCTCCAAAAGATTGGCGACCTCTGCGTCAAGCACGAGATCATCATCCTCTCCGACGAGGTCTACGACCGTCTCTTCTACGTCCCCTTCACCCGCATCGCCACCCTCTCCCCCGAGATTGAGAGCCTGACAATCACCGTCGGCTCCGCCGGCAAGAACTTCTACGCCACCGGCTGGCGCGTCGGCTGGCTCATGGGCTCTGCCGAGCTGATCCAGCACGTCTCCGCTGCGCACACCCGCATCTGCTACTCCTCTGTCTCGCCGTTGCAGGAGGCCTGCGCTGTCGGTACGTGATCCCCTTCCCTTTATGTGAGACAACGAAGCAGAAGACGAAAGCTGACACACCATCGCACAGGCTTCGAGGAGGCCGAGAAGCACGGGTTCTGGGACCAGACCATCAAGGACATGAAGGGCAAGATGGACCGCTTCAACGAGGTCTGGACGGAGCTCGGCATGCCCTACTCCGAGCCCGAGGGCGGCTACTTCGTGCTCGTCAACATGGCCAAGGTCAAGCTGCCCGAGGACTACCCCTTCCCCGCGCATGTCGCGAGCCGCCCGCGCGACTTCAAGCTCGCGTGGTTCCTCATCCAGGAGGTCGGCGTCGCGGCCATCCCGCCCACCGAGTTCTACACCGACTCCAACGCGCACATTGCCGAGGACTACATCCGCTTCGCCGTCTGCAAGCCTGACGACGTGCTGGAGACTGCTAAGGAGAGGCTGCGTGGGTTGAAGAAGTACATCCAGGAATAGAGGGGAGGTGGGATATAAGCACCATGTATCATGCATTCTGGAAAGATTTCTGTTAAAAGGAGTGTGAATAGATAAAAAAGGCTTGATTACATGTCCTGCGTTTACGTGTGCTCTGCCAGAGAGATCGTGTATGTGCTTCGAGCCTGAAACATTTCATCCTCCTGGTCTACCGACGAATTTTGGGCGAGGTCGACCTCGATGTAGTAGAGCACGCATCGCCAACACCACCCAATGCTCCTCCTTCCTGGCAGGCATTCGCCGGGTCGCAGTACGTGACGAAGAGCAGCCCCGAGTCGCCGGCCGGAACGCCCGACGGCACGCACCAGAAGACGGACTGGCTCACGTGGGCATCGTCGGCGGTCTGTTTCCCCGCTGCCAGCGAAGATTTGATGGTTTTCTGATTGTTCGCGTCTGCAGGTCTCACTTAGCTTCGACGCTGGTTTCAAAGGGAGGACATGAGAGGCAGACCGATTTTGAGGAGACGGGAGCCGCAGTAGGTTTCGCTCGGGGTGCAAGTTACCGCGGAGGCGACGCCGGAGATGGCGGCGATGGTGGCGAGTAGGGCGACGATTCGGGCCATTTTTGGACGCGCTTTGATGAAGGTAATTTTCTTTTTGATGAAGATGTCTTGACGAATTGATTTTGGTGGTCGAAAAAGGAAGGGAGGTGCTTCTAGGGATGTGAACATCCCTTCCAGCCAGGGCGGCCCGATGCGGGTCTCACGAGACTCTCAACAGCTAGTGGCTTGGACTGTTTGATGAGCAAAGTTTGGCATTTGAAATCAGGGCTCAAGCATGCCATTTCCATCGATGAGGCACATCGTCGGCATTACTGCTTGGAGTCCTTTCTGTTACACGCTTCGGAAGGTACGATGACCATGATGGGCAGGTCCTTCCTGGGGGAGAACAACGGCGTGGGCGGAGGAAAGAACCTACGATGGAACAGAAAACTCGGCAAAGTCGAATCACCATAGTGCGAAAACTCGAAAATGTGTGTAAAGCTTGATCCGATTACTTCCTGGCCAGTATCTTTGACCGATCTTACCAAGCTAAGGGACCATCCGAAAATTCAGCTCTTCTCGAGAGCCATGCCGTGACCAAACCATGTGTCCATCCCAAAAGAACCACGATATCACATCCCAAACGCCATCCAACTAAGCCCATCTAGCCGAGTTGCCAAACCCGCTTGAAAGCCAACGCGAATACCATATGAGAAAAAGAGAAAGTCGTGATCATCATGCAAGACAGAGAGGGAAACCCCAAGCAAGCAAGACAGATGAAGTCTAGATCTCAGCGCTGTCCTGGCCACCCTCCATCTGGACGTCCTCCTCGGCCTTAGCCTCCTCCTTCACCTCGAACTTGGGCTCCTCCTGGGGAGTGGTGGTGAGCTCGTCCTCCTCCTCAGCGGCGGCAGCAGCCTCCTCCTGCTCCTTCTTGGCCTTGGCAGGAGTGGCGCGCTTCTTAGCGGGGGTGGCGCGCTTTTTCTTGGCTGGGGTCTCCGGGGAGACAGTGTCCTCGGCGTCGGCGTCGCCTTGGCTGGCAGCGGCCGGAGCAGCAGCCTTCTTCTTGGCAGGAGTGCGCTTCTTCTTGACGGGGGTCTCGACGACGAGCTTCTCCTCGGTGGCGTTGGTGAGCTCGTCGGCCTCCTCATCATCCTCCTCGGTGGAGGGAGTGGGAGCGGGAGCGGTCTTCTTGCGGGGAGTGGCACGCTTGCGCTTGGCCGGGGTGGTGGCAGCGGTGCCGTCCTCGTTGGCGGCAGGAGCGGGCATGTCGGCGAAGAGCTTCTTCTTGATGGCGGCCCAGGCGTTGGAGGCAGAGCGGGGGTTGGTCATGCCGCAGGCCTCGGCGAGCTTGGGATAGTCGATCTATTCACACCGTCAGTATCAAAAGCACGAGAACGACGAGGGACGACGACGACGACGAGAAACGACGACAATAACAACAACAATAATGATGGACGATGACGCCGACGACAGCAAGGTAGAGTATGCAACCACTGGAGAGGACGAAAATTGGAAGGGACCACGATGGGTGGGTAGGTTGTATTCTTACCTCAGGCGGGGTTTTCATGCAGCTCCATGCATGCTTGAGAATCTCGAGCTCTCTGTCGGTGAGAGGCTTCTTGGTGGTGCCGTCGGAAGAAGACATGCTGACTTGTGATGAAGTACAAGGTGGGATGTGTTGAGTTGTTGATGCAAAGGGTGAAGTGAAGTGTTGCAGGTTGGATGAAGATGGGGATGAGAAGTGGGTGGTGGGAGAGTGTGATGTTTTTGTGTGAAGGTGGGTGCTGGAGGGGAAGGTGGGAAAACTCTGGTAAGAGATGGACTTCGTGGAAAAGAGAGATTTTCAGGCAGATGCTTGTGGAAGGGAAGCGGAGATATCAGTTAGGGCAGAAGTGAAGGTTATCGTGTGCCCTGACTGGATGTGCTTAGTCGACGATGGAAGTGAGCGGAAGAGGAAGAGTTGAAAGAAAGTCAGGAAGGAGCCCTGGGTGCTAGGCATCAAGAGAAGCTGCTACTTCCTGGACTGTGAACTTGAGGAATGGTGATTCTCAGCTGTTGCAAAAATGTTGGGTCATGAACATTTCTGGATGCTTGCTTGATGTTTCCAGAATTGGAAAGCATTGGGAAGTCGCAGCTGCTTCAAAGCCAGTATGATCCAGACCAAGCTGTTCGCAGCTTCCTTTGTGTAATACCTCGACACTTCCAGCAGGTGCACCCCTATGAGACCAGAAGGAACGAAAGATAAAAACAAAAAAGTCGTGATCAAAAAGGGAATCGAACCCAGAGGCCCCAACGTTGGATAGTATAACTTGGTGTTGAGCTAGCATTAGGGCTATACTCGGCATATTCACTGTCACCTCTCCACCCGCTGGTTGCCAGTTCTGGCCACGAACCTCCCTATGTAGGTATGGCAGACACTCTAGGTGTCTAGGTGTGCTGTTAACCGCTGCAGCAGACAAGCACTGAGGCAAAGTGTAGGCAGGAGAGATCCAGAGGCCACCCTACTTCCAACCTTATGCGTACTTTTATTATTTATTATATATACATCTGCACACCCTGCCATTTCACTATGTCGGCCCGTGAAGGTGAAACTATGACTCTTTTTTCCATCTTACAATCGTGTCCACAGCTATTAAAGTACGAACAAGAGCAAGCAAATCTATCACTACAGATGCTCATCTTGGAATCGTGGAGATCGATCCAAGTCCTCAGTCTATTGGCCCAATGGAGATTGGTCGTGTACACTAGGGAAGGAAGGAGGCGTCGAAGCTGAGTTTGCCTGCCTGATCATGCCCCTTCCATATCTCACTCACTGATCAGCAGCACGGTCTCCCTTTGATGCATTCCCAACTCAAAAACCTCCAACAAAGGAGATCGAGGCAACCAGCGAAACAAGCATCTTCCCAGCCCATTATAACTAGTGCCTGTTGGCATAATTGCACTTCGTACATCCGAGAGAATTGACGATGAGAATTAAGCTGAAAGTAGAAAGGCTCTTATCAATCTTCAACGATGAAATTCAATCACACTGATGATACGTTGGCTCAATATGAATGTAAAAAAGAGCACATTTCTGAATTATTTCAAGAACTGCATCGCGTGCTCGATCATGCCAGGTTTGGTCCCAAAGTGATAAGCAGCAGCTCCGACGAGACCCGGCACGACAATCCACACCATTTTGCGCGCAAAGGCCTTTGCGCCCTTCTTAATAATAATCCGAAGCTTCTCGTGGTATGCGTCGTGGTCATTGACGTGTGGAAACGGCACATCAGGGATAGGCTTTCCCAGAAACTCGCACAACGGGCCCCAACCATCCTTCAAATTGTAGTTTAGCAACCTCTCGGGCGGCGTCTCCCTTCGGATGGTGTCATAGTGCCTCTTGTATCCCTCCCGAGCGTTCGCTAGGATTCCTTCTTTGGTGTCTGAGTTGAATTGGTACCGCAGCCAGGTGAATGTGATGTCGTCGATCTCCGCGACATACTTCGCGCGCAGCCATGAAAGCGTCCTCCAGACAGGGTTGAAGGCAACGTTGACAATGCTCTCGTCGAAGCTCTTGTACCACGACTCGAATTGCCGCTCGACGAGAACAACCTTGGAGTCGGGGTACGCTCTAACCAGCTCCGAACCGAAGAAGTTGGGCGGCAGGTCACAGACGGCCCCGCAGTGGCCGAGCAGCTGGTCGAACTCGGTGCGACCAAAGGGCTTCTGGCCGGGCTGGGGATTCATCTTTGCGTGCATGCCTTCGGTCCACAGCTGGACCTCACAGATGTTGGATGTCATGGAGAAGCCGTGGTAAACGTCATCGTAGCCGAGAATCATGAGGGCTCGTTGCATTGCTGGGTGTCCATGTCATTAGCCTGGCTCCGAAGTATTGGGGGCGATCTCTATGGAGATCGCGGATACCTACATGATGTACCCGTCTTGGACATGCCAAGGGCCAGGACCTCCAATGGAACGACTCGCTTGCATGTTCGGCGGTCAATGTTGAGGTCGGGCTTGAAAAGCTCAGGGTGCTTCTCTTCATCAGTCTGCATTCGAGACATGGTGGGCAAAGGCAGAAAGTCGAAGCTTTTGAGTCTGATTAAATTCGAGCGCAAAACCCACATGGGACTGAGAACCAAAAACTAGATATAGGCCATTTATCAAGTAAACCGTCTTCGTGCCCTGTGGTCTTTTCTTCCAGGTGGTTCGTCAGATGCACTAGAACAAGTGTCTTGGGATTACACGCATTGTCTTACGATTATTACTCCGGTTCCAACAGTCTCTTGCATGCCCAGTGTTACCCACCCATGAATGTTTGGATCTCCCTGCCCTAGCATCCACGCCAGAGATGCTCCTGGTTCTCCTTATCGAAGGATCTTTCGACCCACTCAAGCAAACATGCGGTGGGAATAAAGCAGACCGCGACGGTGAGGTATTAGAGACGGCACCCTGGCCGCCCAGAGTCTTGACTCCGGACCTCAGTTCCGCTTGGCCCACACTGACCGGCTCGCAGACCGACAACCGACGATCTAGGCTTATCCTCCGCCACGAATGTTGATACTGGCGAATGATATGACGCTGTTGGTGCTCACCTGTCTGGGCAGCTGAACATGACACCTGCATTTGCTGTGTTGGGTGTGTTTGCTGCACACTTGATTAACTAATCACGCAGGACAGAGCCTAAGCGAGATAGGGAATGATACCAGAATGTGGGTTTCTTCTCAACGTCTTGCCATCTCCTCACATTCTACTGGTGGCCTTTAGCAGTGTGCTGGGTGGACTGAGCAAGATTAGCCGCATCCCCTGCAGACTGCGGCGCGGATCCTCCACCAACAGCGCTAGGCAATGTCTATTTTGAGAAAATGCAGTTCTTGCCAGTATCATCCTTCATGGTGCGAGCAAATTGTCTTCCAAGCCTAAAAGAAAACTAGGGTGCACATTGAGTGCCAACAGGTCAACATCTTCAATTCCGGAAATAAGCAACTTGAGACAGTAATTTTCTCGTCAGCGACAACCAATGCCAGAGCCATCTGGTCGAACATCTTCCCACTCAACACCTACCGAGGTTAGCTTCTCCTTCTTTGATTGATGCTCCA